GCTGTTTTTCCCAGGCCAAATCATAGGTCACCGCACAAGGCAAGTCTCAGCTAAATAGCATTTGTATGGATTCCCTTATTGCATAGGAATAAACTTTTTAGCCTTTCCTCTGCTCTCTTTTTAAATAAAAATTTTGCCCTGTATGAATATCTGGTCTCTCTTTACCCTGTTTCTTTGCCTTAAAGCATTTTTTTTTGTTATTCCTGCCCCTTTGTGTCCAAGTCTTATTTCTTTTTATATTATTGTATCCTTTGAGCCTCAAAAATCACTTGAGTTGGTGTTATAATTTGAATATCAACTGTCTCCTATTAGGCTAACATGCTGAAAGCTTGGTCCCCAAGTTGTTGTTGTTATTTTGGAACTCAGAGAATGCAGGTCACTACCTGTCTATGGCCCCTTCCCATCTCTGCTTCCTGTCTTCCATGAGATGAAGAGCTCTGTTTTACCACATCTTCCTCTTTTGCCATGATGCTCTGCCTTAACACAGGCCAGCAGTCATGGGGCCAAGTGACATAGAACAAGTGACTGTGAACCCAAACGTGGGTCCCCTCCCTCCCACTCTCCCCTGCTCTCCCAATACAGTCCAAACCCTTTATTTATTTAACAGCTGTGGTTCATCCCCTGGGCCAAGTGGATGAATACCTAGGACCTAGCACCAACTTCAGCACAACTTCCAAGCCTCTGTTTTGACTCCAGCAGGGCGAGCACATTACTCTTGTATAGTGGACCTTTCACCTTAGATGTGAAGGAGTACCTGGTACTGACGTCTGTGTGCACCATCCCTGAGAGCTGATCCCGCCCAGCACTTTGGTGACACTGCATAGCCTAAAGGGCTGCACTATAATAGTGTTCATGATGGCAGCTGCCTGGCGGGCAGCAGCTTTCCTCTTAATTTGTTTCATGGTGCTGGGCTGGGTGTGGTGGTGGCACACCTGTCATCCCAGAATTTAGGAAGTTCATGTAGGGGTATTCTAAGTTCTGGTTTGGGGCCCCACAAAGAGTTGGAAGTCTCAAAAGAAAGTCTGTGGGTTGGGGCTTTATCTCAATTAATAGAGTGCTTCCTAGTATACATACAGTCCTGCATCCAATGCCCGGCATCACACAAACCCCTTGTGATGGTATGTGCCTGGAATCCCAAAACCTGTGAAGTAAAGACAGGAGGATCAGAAGCTCGGGGCCATCCTTGTCTACATCATGAGGCCAGCCTGGGCTACTCAAGACTTTGTCTCAAAATTTTTTTTTCCAAGTGTAGTTAGTGCCTCTTAAAATATTGATTTGACAAGATGATCCCAAAGGAAACAGATTTCACATTGAAATGAAACTGGGCTGTGTTGCATGCCTGAAGCTCTGTCGTAGATTTCCAGGGCATACCTTGGCCTTGAACCCAAGACTCTGAGGAGCTCTGAGATCAAGAATCCTCCCTACTTCCCACCTAAGTTTACTTGACAGCCCCATTCTTTCTCCTTTATCTATTACCACATTGCAGATTATTTTGGCCATGCTTTCCAGAGTGTTGGCAGTACAGTACTGTTTCTACCAGTGAGGAGAACTCTGAGGCCTAGAGACAACTGCATTGTATAGCTAGTGGAATAGCTGTCCTACTGGGCTTTCTCAGTGTGACCCTGGGCTGACCTGCATGCCATCCACACCCACTGAGGACTTCTATACTCTGTTTTTAGCACACATCTCCTGGTTTTCTTTCCCAGAGTCTGAACTTTGTTCCACTTCTCTTTCCTGAACCTGATTCTTTTTATGTGTTTCTCTGGCTTCTCTTTCTGTCTACCAGATGTCTTACAAGTAAGTAATAAAAGACTGCAGTCAAAGTTTCCTATGCCTCATCAAAACACACACAGACACACACACACACACACACACACACACACACACACACACAAAATACTTTTTTTTTTTAGTATATGTCTGCTTTATGTCAAAGATCACAGTTGTCAAGTAGAGGGTGTGTGTGTGGGGGGGCAGGTTTGTTACTAAAGTCAGATTTAGTCAACCACACAGGGTCATCAGTGAGTGAATACATGTAAAATTAAGCCTTGGTTTTGAGGGTTTTAAAGGAGTGTAGATGAAAATTTTTGTATAATTATATATAAACTAAATATTTTATGACCTCAAAAAGGGCTTGAGAAACTTTGTCTTGTACAAGTGATTGGCAGACCCTGTTAGGTGACTCCCACAGGAAGGAACAGTGCTATGTTTCTGTTCTTTATGAGACAGCTTCCTGATGTAGAGTAGTCTTGTAAGACTCAAGGCTCCTGGAGTCGGTTTTAAAATGTTATCCGTTAATGACCTTCTAGGCAGTTAAGAATATCTCATCTCCTTCCAGTGCCAGAGATAAGACTCAGGTCCCACTCTTCTGATAGGTAATTAAAGTCCTGCTGTTTCAGTCCTTATTTTATAGGCTGTTGTCTACGAGAGAGGTGTTCAGCCCCAATGCCCTCAGTGTCTCTGTTCATTACACAATTTTGTGGGGAGCATGAAAATACTTAGGAGGAACAACACTGGCTTTAGAGTCAGAAGTCTGCATGCAAGAGTCTTTGCATGTGTATGTATGTATGTACGTGTGTGTGAGCTTTGAGACTGGGTCTCACTGTATAGCCTTAAGTTGCTAAGTAGACTGGGCTTGCCTCTGACTCACAGAGATCTGACTGCCTATTCTTCCCAACAGGGATTTAAAAACTTTTTATTTTTAACTAGGTGTATATGTGGATATGTGTGTGGGTGTGTGCCCAATAGAGGTAAGAGGCATCAGATTCCCTGGTACTGGAGTTACAGGCAGAGGAGAGATATTCAGCATGGGTACTGAGAACCAAACCCAGGTTCTCTGTCAGAGTGATACTTGCTCTTCACTGCTGAGCCATCTCTCTAGCAATCTCCATGACTTTTTGAGATAATTTTCACATAGCTCAGGCTGGCCTCAAACTTACTTTGTGCTTGAGGATGACCTTGAACTCCTGATCCTTCTGCCTCCACATAGTGAGTGGTGGGATTACAGGCCTGTGCGAGCATACCTGGATGGAGCAGGGATACTTCTGAGGGTTGGATTATTAAGTGATTGCCTCACTGTGCAAACATCAGTGCTAGGTGTTCAAGCCAGGATCTTAAAGTTCCTCCATATCTGCTGTTTGCCGTCTGCAAATTTCTATTAGTGGCGTTGTCTTTAATGAATCCAGATCCCCAATGGTTTTCATGCTTTTCAGTACCAGCTATAGTGAATCTGGACATAATTGACTGGTGAGGAGTAACCATTATTGATTTGTGGTTTTAGAAAAAATGTCACGTTGACCTTTGTTTCCAGATCAATCATTCCATGTCAACTCCTCTCCACCATCAGCATTGGCTTTGAACACTTTGGTGGTAGTGACCAGACCAGGCCAAGAGCAAATTAAACAGTCTGGAGACATTCAGTGTGAGCAGCAGGAGATAGCTGACGGGGGAATCCGCCCCCCCAGACACTGCTTCATAGTGCCCTGTAATAAGCAGGAGACATACCTTCTAAAATAGGGGTAAAAACACCTTATAGTAAGTCATAAGCCAGTAACAGTCATTTAGAGTCACTACAAGCCTTGTGTGCTATCCATAATTGTGCATGCTGTGCTATTGTGCAGCAGACAGCCAGCACACAGGTTTTTCTTTTATACCAGCATCAACAGAAACATGTGAGCCGCGCGCTGTGCTTTGATTACTGCTGCGACATCACCAGGCAACAGCTTGCTTTCAGATGATCATGATCCTGTGGAACAGTTGCAGATAATGTCTGTTGTTCACCATGTGCTACAAAGCTGGCTTCAGCCGTCTGAACTAAGGTACACTGCTAGCTTCGCTGAGTCTGTTTCCAGTTCACCACATACCCCAAGTGACATGTATCTGATCCAATGTAATGTCTGACTTAGTGTCTTTGGAAGTATCTTAGAATGTTGTGATGGAGGGACAGAGTCAGTGGAGCCACAGAGGGACAGAATGTTCCTGTTTGTGTCACCTGCTGCAGCTCCCAAGCTCCAGTCCTTCCAGGTCTACAAGGAACCCCTCTTCCAGCAAGTTTGCCCAGTTGTCACTCGAACAACCCACAGGGCAGGAATGACTCATCCATAAGCCCTCCAGTTCCCCTCCAGTCCCTTCTTCATCATTTCTTCAGTGGCTTGTATGTATAACAAACTCCAGAAGCAATTTGTTTTCAGGATCTGGCTTCCCTGTTAGGCTGGGTTTGGCCACCACCTTCTATTTCTTCCCTGCATTAGGAGGCGCTGAACATTGGGGAATTAACGAATGCATTCAGTCAGCAACCAGCACCAGGTAGTTCTACCTAACTGCTTATTCCTCCTTCTCATAAGACAATGTCCTCTTGAAGAAACGATGGCTACAGCAAACTTTGGTTTTACCAAGAGTGCCTGCAAATCACAGGCTTGCCCTTGCATTTAGATATTAGAGGGGAGGGTTGTCATAAAATCCATGAGAATATGGACTACCTCAGAAGTGTATACACAAAAATATGCTAGCACAGTGGTTTGTTTCTTCCTTTGGAAGCTGTGAAATTTGAGTATTGCTTCCCCCCCCCGCCCCCCCGGCTTCTTTTATGTTTTGGTTTTTCATTGTCTACAGTGAAGAGGTGCTGTGTTTGTGAAATTGCTGGTGACAGTGATTGGAAAAATAGGCTGGAGTTGACCCACGACTCCACTGGAAAGCTAGTGGCACTCTGCTTTCAGAGTGCTTTAGCTTAGATCCCAATTTAAAAAGCAAAACGCATTTTACGCCATTTGTAGCATGCACACCTGTTATCCCAGCACTAGAAGGCAGCCAGGAAGATCTCTAGCTCAAGACCTGCCTGTGCTACGTAATGAGTTCAAGACCAGTCTGGGATATGTATCCAGATGCAGACTTAAAAACCCAACTCAAGAAAAATGGCATAAAAGTTTTCAAAACTTTTCCCCTTAGGGAGCGCTTGGAACAGTGTCCTCAAGGTTCCAGATCTGCTTTGCGGTGGACCTCATTGAAGGCGGTGGCAATGATGGGAGGGGCAGGGTGAGGTAGAGAGTGCGTAGCAGCCCAAGGCGGAACCACACACCTGCTGTGCTGTCACTTATTGGCTAGCCGGGAGGACCTTGACCAACCGGGAGCTGCCTGGTCGTCATGGCAACAGGACACGCTAACGCTGGTGTCAGGGAGGCTGACTTTCTGACTGCGCAGGGACTATGGCCCAGAACTTGTATGGTCCTGGAGTCCGGATGGGCAACTGGAATGAAGAACTCTGCCTGGAGGAGGTGCGTAGGGTGCCGCCGCATTCCTACGACCCCAGACCCTGTCCTTCATGCTCCCTCTGTGCTGCTCTGAGCACTTAGTCTCTTCTTACCCAGCCTCACCATGTTCCCCACGCACCCTTGATGAACCTCGGTAGCTCATCTGTTGTCTCTGAGCACCTAGCCTCGTTGAATGCCCCGGCTTCACGACTCCTGAACCCAGAGCAAGCACAGCTCGCTTTCTCCCGGGTTCTCTGCCTTCACCAGCTTTGTGTCGCCCCTAGGTGTTGGGAAGGTTCTGGGGTTACAAGTGTATGGGGAGGGACTTTCCATATGCTCATCCCAGTTAGGAAATTCCCCGTAGAGACGGCTGGCCTCCAAATCCCACTCCCGGTTGTTTCTGGACAGGGTAAGCTCAGGAGCCCTCTCCTCTTCTTCTCCAAGAATTTTTCTTCTCAGTTTTTTCCTAAGCACTCCACCGGGACATGCTGAGGACATTTCTGCCATCTCCACCACGATCACATTTCCTTTTGTGTTCTCAAACTTTGAACTTGAGATGCTTCCGAGGGAGAGAAAAGCTACCAGTACCTGTGCTCTGCAGCGGCTGGGCCCTGTAGTCCCGTTTACTCTGTCTTTGCATCCCCAGGAGCGCATGAGAGACTTCCTAGAGAAGAGGGAGAAGGGAGAACTTCTTTTACAGAGAAACAGAAGGCTGAAAAAGATCATCTTGAGACCGGTAATCTTAAATTCCAACACCAATTTCAAACTGCTGTCAAATTAAGTGCGAGTTTAAGCAAGGAAAATTTCTATAAGCAACTAACCATTTTTGGAAACTTAAAAAAATAATCTGAAAAGTACAGTGTTTAAAGTTCCCCAAGCTTTTAGGAACATAAAGGGAAGTTCGCCCTTAATTATGTTTACTTAATTATGTTTGCATATAAAGGGGTGGATTAATGCTTGCCCAAGTAGAGTGCCTTTCAGTTGCTGCTCACAAATGTTTAACAAGCATTGAACAAACCTACCTATGTGAATTCTGACAGCTTCGCTTGACCTTGTTTAGGGTCATTGGGAACTTGCTTGACAATACGGTAGGGAAGGACACTAAGGATTGGAGGGAGAGAGGGAGGGAGGGCATTATTGAAATGGTGCCAGTCTGAGAAAGAAAGGAGGTGCACTCGGGAGCAGCCTTGCTCTCAGCAGTGAAGGAATTGATGAGCTTATTGGAAAATTCCTGTTAAAATTGTAGATGGAACTTTCAGTATCCCAAGATGGATTTGTCCACTATGGCGACAAAGTGATGCTTGTGAATCCTGACCACCCCCGGTGGGAGGAAGCTGGCGTGTTTATGGAAGGAGACCTGTGCCTGTGTATGAGCCCCGATGAAGTTAAAGCCCAGCTATATGATGAATTTGAAACGCCCTGTGGAGTGAGTGCTGTTCGGACCACAGCACCGAATGGCAGGAATACCTTCACCATCTTGAGGTAGAGACACTCAGTGGCAGCATCGAAGTAGCTGCTTGGATTTGTAGCTTAAAAATGAGGAGACACTAATCAGTAAGTGTTTGTCTCATATGTGTGAGGACCTGATTTAGATGTCTAGAAACCCTATTAAAAAAACCAAGTGCGGTGGTCAACACTTGTAATCCCAGTACTGTGGAGGGAGAGACATGCAGATCTCTGAGCCTTGCTGGCCAGCCAGCCTAGCTTACTTGGTGAATTTCAGGCCAAATGAGACACTCTGGTATGTTTTTTTTTTTTTTTTTTTTTTTTTTTTTTTGGAAGTGAACAGCACCTGAGGAACATCACTGTGCACACACACAGACAGACAGATGGACACATATGGACACTGGGGTCAGGCAATGATGACTGCAGGCAAAGGTTATGTGAACATTTTCTGAGGTCTTGCCTTGCTTGCTCACTTGTGAAATATTGCTGAGGGCCCTTTACACAGCTATTTGCTTAAGATAGCAGGTTAACTAGCTACTTGTGATCAGTTCAAAATGTTTGCTCATGATGGTCAGATCCAGAAATATGAACTTACATTCTGCCTGGAAGAAAAGAAGGATTTTCCAAACAGTGTTACAGGAGGCTTTGTGTTCACACGAGTGCTTGCATTGTTCTCAATGCTATGTTATCTTCATTTAATGAAAGGCTCCATGAGATGGGTTTTACTCTTTTAAAATCAGTCATCTACCAGAGATTGACTTGAGGTCTTGGAAATGATCAACGGGACCTTTAGAGACATATAATCACAATTAAAACTACCACTTTGACTCTGTTGAAGGCTTTGTGACAATACTTCAGTGACAAGACTAGAGCCTGTTTTATGTACCCTTCACTTCATTTTCTTGAGTGCAGATGGTTTGTGGTAAAACATCTTAAACTTGGTGACCATTTCTGTCCCTGGAAGATTGTGAGGGAAGATTATATTAAATGCCTGCAGAAGTATAACCTTGGCTCTGTCTAAAAAAAGTCATTGCATATGACCAAAAGTTCTTAGCATGCTTAGTCCACTCTGGTTAAAGGCTATAGAGTGGGGGAGGTTCTGGATTTGATTGATGGGACAGATAGAATGGGGATATCATGTACATGCTAGCTGAATGTTGAGGCTAAAATGAAAGAACTTTTATAGCTGGCTATGGTAACCCCAGCACTCTTAGGAGGCTGAGGCAGGAAGATTTCTCCAAATTCCATGTCAGTTTGGGACTACATAGTGGGTCTAAGGCCAGCCTGAGCTTTAGTGTGAGACCGTCTCAAAACATCAAAAAACAAATAAAGACATGAATAGGTTAATGCACAAAACAGAGGAAAAAGGCTTCAAGAATATTCAAGAATATTTCAATTAATGGTACACAAATTGATGATGCGTTCCAGCACGTGATTTTCATCAGCATCTCTTGACATCATCTCAGATGACTGAGGTTTTTGCCATGGCAAGCAAAACAGACTGGAGAGCAACGTTTGTTATTTAATTTAGTATGGTATGAGAATATACGATGTAGGGGGAAATGCTGACCACGCCCGCTTGGGGGCTGGCACAGGTGACCCTGTCCACGCCCACTTGGGTGTGCTCAGAATGATGTAGCAAGGCTTTAAATATCATAGACGCATGCATGTGATCCTTTTTTCCCTCTCTCGCCTGGCTAAACAGACGAGCAGGCATCCGGTGTAAACCAGCGATGTAAACCTGGTCTCTGGCTCCGTTGTTTGAGTACTTTCCTAATAAATCATCTGTTATCAATCTAGTTCTGACTCCATTGCGTTCCACCTTAATACACTGTCAAGAAAAGTGTGGGAATGATGGTAAGGCATAGTCCTCACTCTTTCCTGCTGCTCTAACCCTCCAGTGACAGCAGAAGCAGTGATGGTGTGGGCCAAGTCCTTAGATACGGGCAGGACTTCTGCCTCGGGATAGCTGCAGGACCGGAATTCAAGACGGTGAGTCTCTTTGGGTGTGCCTACTGTCATGTATCATTCTTGTTTACCAAGATGGCCAATAACTACCCCCAGAAGGGGCTGTGTAGATGAGGATCTCATTTTTGCTGTCACTGTGCATTCAGTTTGTGGGTTCCACTGGGCATTTTGTACCTGATTCTTTCCTCTTAACTTTGTAAATAACAAAGCAAACAAGCAAACAGCATCCCCAGCCTTAAGAGCTAAGGAATGAAGGGAGGAAAATCTTTTTAGTAAACAGCTGTCATTTGGCGAAAGTTTATACCACTTTAAATAGTAAATTAAATAATTCAGTTTACTGACATTTGTCACATGCCACCAGTTCCAGCAAGTTATACATTGCCAGACTAATCTTGAACTTCTGGACTCAAAGTGATGCTTGTGTTTCAGCACTTTGTCAAATATATGAGACAATAGGCATGGATCATTTTGTCCAGCTCTGGCATCTTAAGCTTTTGCTTAGCAACTATGTTTTTTTTTCCCTAAGAAGTAATAAGGACACTACGGGTTAGTAGATACCAGGAAGCTTGAGTCTCTGAGATCCTCCTTTACTTTGGAGATAATATATAGGTCAGGTATGGTGGCACACACCTATAAACTCAGTACTTGAGAGTTGAGGGTGGAGGATTGCCATGATTTTGAGACTCATCTGGACTATAGAGTGAGACTTATATCCACAAAACAAAGCGGACAACAGAAACAGATAAACTCATGCTTGAATTTCATATACAAACTATGTAATAGGGATTTGTGTAAATTAACTGTTTGAGTCAGTGACTCATAAAATTTGAGCACTGTGCCAGGAAATGCTGTAATTGCCTTACACATGTTAACTCAGTTTTTTTTTTCTTTCAAGTGAGTCTTTGACATAAGAACACCGGGAGAATAGAAGTTCAGCTATGCATTGTTATGGTTTGAATGTAAAATGTCCCTCCATAGTCTTCGGTGTTTGAACACTGAGTTTCCAACTGGCAATGCTCTTTTGGGAGTTGGGGACCACATGGAGGAAGTGATTTGCAGTGGGGGGAAGGCCTATGTTCTGGTCTAACCTCTTGGTCCATCAAAACTTAACCAGTGGCCCCATATGCACAGCCGCAGCCATAAACTGTTGGTACTGCCAAGCCTTCCCCACCATGAAAGATTAACTCCTTAAACTGTGAACCCAAAGAAGCCCTTCCCCTTGCAAGCTGTGTCTTATCAGGATTTGATAACTGCAATTAGAAAAAAATGAGACCAACAGGAGATTCCAGTACTGTCTGATATGGCATTGTATCATAAGGTTTTTGGTACCACTATGCCAAACCAAGGATGCCAGTCAAACTATGCCATGTGTAGGTGTCGATCTGCAACCTGAGTTTAATCTCTTCTGTTGGTCTTCCTTTTCAGCTCAGTCTGGCCTTGAACTAGTGATCTTGCCTCAGCCTTCTGAATACTGTGGTTATAGGTGTGTGCTACCATACCTAACTAATTTGGTTTGTTATTCTAATTTCTATCACGTATGAAGTTCTGGTATGTATGTATGTATGTATGTATGTATGTATGTATGTATGTATGTATGTATGTATGTATGTATGTATGTATGTATGTATGTATGTATGTATGTATGTATGTATGTATGTATGTATGTATGTATGTATGTATGTATGTATGTATGTATGTATGTATGTATGTATGTATGTATGTATGTATGTATGTATGTATGTATGTATGTATGTATGTATGTATGTATGTATGTATGTATGTATGTATGTATGTATGTATGTGTGTGTAAATGCTTAAAGTTCACCCCCCTCAAACCCTAGTTATTGAGTCTATCTTCAGAATAGGGTTTTTTTTGGATATAGAATTACTGATCTCAAGAATGTGAATACAATTAGAAGTATTGAAAGCTGGGCATAGTGACACACCCCTATAATTTTAGTACTTGGGGTGCTGAAGCAGGAGGATTGCCACAAATTCCAGGTCAGCCTATGTTTCAGAGAGCGATCCTGGTTTGTTTGTTTTTTTCTTTTTTTAAAGATGTAACCAGTTCTTTCTTAATACACTGTGCCAGTTTGTACTCTCAGCAACAGTAAATACATATGACACTAAAATGTGACAAACATCACAATTTAAATCTTTGGACAATTTAATCTTATGGACAAACAGGAAAGGGTATGTAATGTGGTAGTACTTGTTTCCAACCCTGTACATTTGCCTTCCTCCCCTCTCCTATATTCTCACTTTTCCTCCCTCTCTTTGCTTTTCTCACACTTTTGCCCTGGGGTCCATATGTTCTTTGTCTCTGTACTGCCCTTTTGATGGATGATTGCATTTTCATATTTGTTGCTAATATTACCTCCCCCAATTTAAATTGTAGTTGCTTTAATGGCATTTTTGAGATAAATCTGTCAGTTTTCCTTTGAAGTTATTTCTTTGTGTGCACACACACACACATAGGACATCATTTAAGAGTCAGTTTTCACTTTCTACCTTGTTTGAGGCAGGGTCTTTCTCGTTTCTCACACTATATATTTCAGGCTAGGTGGAGCACGGATTCCAGGCAATTCTCTTATCTCTCCCTCCCATCTTATCATAGGGCTGCTGGGATTGCAGATGTACATACTACTGCACCTAGCTGTTTCTTGTGGCTTTCTTGGATGCAAATGCAGGCCGTCAGGCTTGTGTATGGGCTGCTTTTGTCTGTGGAGGCATCTTCTTTTTTTTAAGTAAATTTTTATTTAAATTAAAAACAATCTTATTTTACATACCAGTTTCCTCTTCCTCCCATTCTCCCATGCCTATCTTCTTAGCCCCTCCTCCATTGCTTTTCTTTTTAAGATTTAGAATGTTAAAGATCTGATACAAAGCAAAACAAATATTAATTTCTACATGTTTACAGTTTGGCATTTGTTTAAATTTAGTCTTTAATACATTTGAGATTTATTTTGGTGAAGGGTTTTGTACTCGGGTTCCCCAAATGACCATCCATCTCACATGTTAGCTCTCTAATAATTCTCCCTCCTGTCACACTGTGTTTCCCTAAGCATATATTAAATTATCCTGTGCACTACACACTCTTCCTGAATATTCTATTTTGATCCACTGAAATCATCTATTTTTACTCCAGGACTATAGTGTTATAATTATACAAAGCTGTAATACACTTTGACAGATCTTTGTTTCCCCCCCATTATCTTTCTTTGTCTGGATTACATTAGGAATTGATCTTTGACTTAAGTGCAATAATTATCTTTTCCAGGCCCTCTGCCTATGCACGGAAAAGTCACTTTGTGTTGGTTGGCACTGTAAAACTGAGTGCTTTTTTATTAACAACTTTGAAATTTTAACTCTTGTAAGGCATCTCTCAACTTCTCTCAGGAAGGCATTTTAGCTCTTAGTCAGGTTTTATGAGTGGCTTCACATGGTTGGAGCACTGGCCTTAATGCTGTTACTCCTTGCTGTCTGCTTTTGAATGTCACTGCAGCAAAGCCCCTGTCCATCCAGGGCCGGCTCATCCTCTCTCCATAGTACACTTCCACCATCTTTTCATTCTTAGTGTCAGCGGTGGGCCAGGTCTCATTGGTTTGATCTGGCTTCTGAGGGACAACTCTAGCATAGGAGATCCTCTCATTAGGTCTCGTAACCCACCTTGGGAATCTTCTGTCACACAGGGGACAGTCAACATCCAGAGGGTCACAAGATACCTCTCTTATCCACAGCCCATCATCCCTCTTTCTGGGTAGAAAATGTACAGAATGTTATAACTCGCTTATGCCTTCCTTGCTATACCTCTCGCACAACTTAATAGAAAAAACACCCACAAAAGGGCCAAAGCGATGGCTCAATGTTTGCTTTTATAGAAGACCTGGCCTCATTTCTCAGCACACACATGGTGGAACACAAACAGCCCCAGAGGATCTGAAACCCTCTTCTGACCTCAGCAGGCATCAGACATGCACATAGCATATACACATACATGCTGACAAAATACTCATATGCATAAATAAAATAAATCTAAAGTTTTTGAACACACTAAAAACTTGTTAAGAGACAGAGAAACCACCTTCATGTTCATGGTGGGGGTGAACAAGCAAAGAGCTAACTAAGACAGAACATCCTGGACTTCCAGCAGGATGGGATGGCTCTTGAGAACATGTAGCCATGCAGCTGATCTCTATTCCCAATGGGAACATGGGTTCCAGATGAGTGATGGCTCCAGGCTGAAGAGTACTTCATCTCAGGTGTCCAGTTCAGCAATGTTATTTATAGTGCATAAGATACAGGCCCAGGGCCCATGCTTTGGAGGAGAATGGGAACAGGAAAAGGAGTGTGGGAAATGTCTAATTTTTCTATTGCTGAGACAAAACACCAAGACCAAGGCAAAATAAAAGAAAGCATTTTAATTTGGAGGTTCATGGTTTCAGAGTGTTAAGGGACCATGGCAAACATGGTAGGGAAAATGACATCAGGTAGGCAGAGATGCTTCTGGAACAGTAACTGAGAGCTTCTATGTGATCTTTAAGCAGAAATCAGAAAGATAGAGAGCTAACTGAGAATGCTGTGGGCTTTTGAATCCTCAAAGCCCATCCCCAGTGACACACCTCTTCCAACAAGACCACACCTCCTAATCCTTCCCAGGCAGTTCCACCAACTGGGGACCATGTCTTCAAACATATGAGCATGGGGACCATTTTCACTCAAACCATCACAGGAAAGAAGAAGGGTACAGGGAGGGAGGGAGATAGGAGGGAAATATTATTCTGACAATGTATTTCTAAGGAAGGGGAGAGTTGTGCTTTCTTACAGGATGGGTAGGAAAAGGGTTCTAGAAACTGCTTTTGTGCCTGCTTTCTGTGCAGGCCCATTGGCTTTCTTGGTAGCCGTGACTCATATCATGTGCTGTTTCCAGCTGTATTTATCAAGTGACCACAGGACCCTTCTGAAGTCTGCTAAGAAGTCCTGCCTCCAGGAGGTGACTCTGACAGACGAGGTCTCCCATCTGAACAGCTGGCAGGCTACCTTCCTCGACCCCCAGCTGCGCCTGGAATATGAAGGCTACCCAGTCAGGGTGAGCTCGGCATGTGGGACACTGGGGCCTGGGGTCTGTGAAAGGAAGGGCTGTGGCTCACACCTGCTGATCAAGTGGAGGCTCACTGTAGCTTCAATAGCAAGAAGACTCTCTTTTTCTTTCATTATAACTTAAATGAGGACAGCACTGGCTTGTTCTGAGGTAGCACTCTGCACTCCTGTCTCTCAACCCTGGCTGCAGGTTAGACTCAACCACCAGAGCAGTAAAAAGACCCAGGGTCCCTGGGCACTCCCAACACCTACCCACTCCCTCCCTCCTTCCCCCTTCCCTCTCTTCCTTCCTCCTTCCCTCCCCCATCTCCTCCTTCCTGTCCCCTCTCCTCCCTTCCTCCCTCTTTCCTCCCTGCCTCCTTCCTTCCTTCCTTCCTTCCTTCCTTCCTTCCTTCCTTCCTTCCTCCCTCCCTCCCCCTCTCTTTTTTTCTCTCTTTCTCTCTCTCTCTTTCTTTCTTTCCCTATGTATTCCTCTCCTGTCCTCCATTTGTTTTTCTTCTGCTCTCCTTTATCTCCTTCCTTCCTCTCTCCTTCTCTTTCTCTCCTCCCTTCTCCACCCCCCTTTCTTTGCTCATACTGTAGGCCAGGCTGGCCTGAGATTCTCCATTTTTTCAAGCATCAGAATAGGCACCACTTTGCTTGACCTAAGTTCTCATCTGGGAAGCTGAGAAACAGGATGGAGGCAGCAAGCTGCTACTGAGGCAGACACAGTCCCTGATCACTCTTGTTTTAGACTCTGGGCCAAGTGTGACAGAGCATGAAGCAGGATCCTTTTGGGAGGTTCCCATGGGAACAGAGCAAGCTTGCTGCCTCTGCCTCTCAAATACGAGATGTGGGCTACATACCGAAAGAGGCATCTGTTATATGGAGAGGGAGGACTTACTAGGAATCACTGGAAGTGTCTGGCTTGGATTGGCCATGGGAGGGGCTACAGTCACAGGTTCCTCTGAATCTGCTCCACACAGTGGGTCCATTTGTTCAAAGCTCTGGCAGGGAACCCCAGATGTACAGGGTGGATGGTGGTCACCTTATCCATAATGAAGGAACCTCAGCAGAATTTTCTCTGTAGCCATCCTCTCCTAGCTTGGCTTTCCTAGGATGGTGGTCGCTACAGTCTTCATTTTCTCTAGTTAGTGCCCCTGTAAGTTAGAGTTGTTCATGATATCCCTGTAGGGTTGATTGAAGGACCAGCAGGTTAGTTTGCATGAGCAGCAGCCAGCTCATTGTGGTCAGCGGCCCGTAGCTGTGCTTCTTCATAGGAGTAGTGTGGGTGCAGGAATTCTTTGCTCCATGGTCCCAGGCAGGTCCCTGAACCTCACTCAAGCAAGCTTGCATATCTGCCAAACAGAGAGCCCAGAACCCAACTCCCCTCCCCCCTCCCCCAACACACGAAGCTACCTCACACATGCTATTGCTGTCTCAGCAGAACTCCAGCTGCACTTATGGCTGAGCAGGATGGGTATGTCAGCTGTTGAGGCGAGGGCAAATGTATTTTGGGGATGTGAGATGCCTCAAGCAAGTGCTGCCAAAAAGGATCCTGAGAGATTTTGGTCAGGCAGGTTTGGAGATAGCTTCAGCAGTGGGGCATTGCTGGGGCTTCGAAGCTGCCAGGAAGGCGAGGGAGATCTTACAACTGAGCATGCCAGTAACTTCTCTCCCAAGGGCGAGCAGACAGGAGCCAACTGAGAGTATTGATAAAGAAAAAAAAAAATCCTGGGTATGCCTGTCTGCTGGGAATTTTCTGGCTTGGTCAATGCTCATGTTTTGTTGGTTCATTTATGACTGGGTGGTCTTGGTCCTATCCAGACCCACTATGATCATAGTGACCTTAACTGATGTGGAGTTCTGTTACATGGATTCTGCTCACCAGGAGGGCTTAGCCTTGGGTACCAGACCAACTCATATGCCAGGGGCTGCCATTTTTCCTTCTGGTGGTACTCATCTTACAAGAGTCAGGGTAATAAGATAGTATTTTTTTGGCCAGCTATGGTAGCTCACATCTGAGGCAAGAGGATCATGAGTTCTAGGCTAGCTTGGGATATACAGTCAAGTCTCTGTCCCCAGCAAGTTATTTTTTTCTAATTATAAACACTATATATATATATATATATATGTATGTATATTTACTTTCAGAGTCATTAAAGTACAAATATTAAAATCACCAGTATTAGCTCAATCTTCCAGAAGTAACCACTTTGTTTATTATTTTCCTATACATATGAATATATATACATATACATATATATGTGTATATATGTACACATACACAGATTCCAGAATGATATCCTGAGTAGCACAGAGATGTCTCAGTGGGTGGAGTCCTGCACACTGCTGCACAAGTGTGAGGACCTGAGTTTTGATCCCAGCACCCATGTAAAAGGCAGGTGAAGTCCAATGTACCCTGTAATCCTAGTGCTGGGAGGCAGAGGCTGAAGGATTCCTAGGGCTTTCTGTCCAGTCAGTCTAGCTGGTCATCTCCAGGGTCACTGAGGGATCCTTCCTCAAAGAATAAGGTAGAATACAGTGGAGAGATACCCAGTGTCTCTTCTGGCCTCCACATACAAGAACACATTGGTACAAGGCATATCCACACAAACGTGTATGCCTACCACACACACAAATAGGAACTGTTGAATATTTACGCACACATGTGTATTCTTAACACCATTAACCGTATTTCACATTGTCAAAAATCTTCTTCAATATGACTGAGTAATTATTCTACCATGTAGATATCTACCATAATTCATTTCATCAAACCCATCATGGTCCCTCAGCCTTGTAGACTATATATGTACTACATTGAAATGAATGTTAATATTTTCTAGATTTTTGCTTCTGGGAAATCAGACAGAATGCTAATAATACTCTCTTTTCCTATCCTGTAAAGGCAAATGAAAAACTTGTCATCTATCATCGTCATACAAACCGAGCCCTGGCAACCCATCGGCATCTCTCCTTAAGGTATCGCATTGCTGGGTGCAGAATAGAATGCCATAGCTGGTCAGGTCATTCGTGTAAAAGCAGAGATGTCACTAAGAGTCTGTGTCTAGTCATTTGAGGTAAAGGTCTTTAGGTATTGAATTAAGAACAATAACATTGATTTAGTTTTATCACTAAGGTTTATAAAAATTATTTAAAAGAAAAGACCAATTTTTGTTTCCATTTATTGTTGACAACATCTACTCTTTTTTTAAAAATTTATTTATTAGTTCTAGTTAGGGAACAAGCTTTTCCTGTGCTGGTCCTGGGCCCTTCTCCATGTGTCCAGGGCCAGAGTGTAACCCTTCATGTGGGATGGGCTCTCAAAGTCCCTTCTTGCACCAGGGAAAAATACTAATCCACTACCAGAGGTTCCCTGGAGTGCAGAGGCCTCCTTATTGACATCCAGACAACATCTACTCTTAAGCATGCTAAACAAGTCAAATGTTTGAAAATACTTGTTAATGCTCAACATTGTTTGAATATTTCTGCTCAAAGATAACCACTTAGTTGGTCCATCAAATATCTCATTTTGTCAAGTGATATTTTATTTTATAATTCATAAAGAGGTTATTACATTGATTAAGACAGTCAAAAGACAAAATTTAGCTTAAATTCAGGGGTGGTCCATATGTTTATCATCTTGATTGGTCTAAATTTAAAATCCAACAGACTTGATTTTGCAAATACTTATTTTTAACACTAAAGAAGCTTAATGTATTGTATTTGGGTAACACTTTGTCAGAGATACCTACCATGCCTACACATTATCTATTGACTGGAATTATAACTGACACTTTTAAGTATCATAATTATGAATTGTGATACTGAAATTCTGCTTTGTGTAGAACTTTGATGTTGTTATTCAGTAAAGTCTTTCCTGATGGGACCCTATGTGCCAAAACCTCTGCAAACGAGTGAAATATTCCTACAAATGTACCACATTTTAGGGGCTCTATTGGGCTTTATACAGTGGTCTGATGCAAGAGGAATTTTCTAGGAGGGATGAACAAATGTTCCTGAGCACTGTCACTCAGTTTCTGACTGGAATCCATTCCTTTTTGCTCCAGGACCTATTTTGGGAAGGAAGTTGAGGTTGCAGCTCATACGCATATGGATTCACGCAGAGTTGAAAAGCCCAGGAACCACTGGATGCTAGTTACTGGGAATCCCAGGAACAAGTCGACCACCATGCTGGACCTCCCCAAGCCACCCTCAGATGATACCCGTGCCGTGGAGCAGGTCATGGGCATCAACACATAGTGACACACCAGGCATACATGTGGCCTCTCAGGCTCTGCTCTCATCACTTGTAGGTCTTAAAAGAAATGAATAATCTTGGTTGTGCCCTAAGCAGTTTTTCAGTAGGGCGCAGAACTCCCTGAACCCAGTAGTAAAAGAAATACCTTATGAAACTTATTGAATTAGTGATGGGGAGCCAACCTGTAGGGGGTAAATAGTGTTTGAAAATAATAGTATTTGCAGTAATCAGCTTTTGTTGATATCCTAATTATGAAGAACTCAGTGCCTCCACTCAGAATCCCTTGATTCAAAGGTCCTGCAAGGTCTAGTCTCCTTTCCAAGGTTGTGTGTATGTAATAAAAATGTCAGAAGTTTATGGATGTTTTGGCATTGCTCTTTCACCCCCAATTTTCTTCCATGTGGAACAATGTGTAGTTTTAAGCTGTTAGCTCTGCCTTGGAATTAAAAATTACCCTGTCTTTGTCTTTGTAATCCTGAGTGCTGGGATTACAGCCATGCACTGTGTTCTGAAAGACATCATACTTTTGTTTCAGCCTCCAACCTGGGATGTCAGGCCCTCTACTCTACTGTAGCTATGATCTTATAATGACTTTCATACTGCAGAATCCCTTTACCTCTAGTGAATCTTTGTAACTGACTCAGTCATGATGTCATCTACGTGATAATGAAGGTCCCAGAAATGGGGCTGGAGAGATGGCTTTGTGATTAAATCTGCACACTGCTTGCTCTTCCAGAGGATCTGAGTTGGGCTCTCAGCATCCATGCTAGGGGGCTGGCAACTGCCTGTAATTCCAGCTCCAGGAGAGCTGGTGCCCTCTTCTGATCTTCCAAGGCACTGCCCTCACGTGCACAACCTCTCCCTGACATACTGATGCACATAACTAAAAATGAATTCAAAAGGAAAAGTCTGGACAGAATGAATGTATGTCCTTTCATTTATTTGTTCAACTACTCATTCTGCCTTTCATATATGTAAGATATTATAGTAGGACAAATAGCTCTCCCAGTCTCGTAGGTGTAAGGCTATCCCCAAAGAATTGCATTGAGTGGTAGAAAGTAGGTTACAGTAGGTTTTATGTAGGCTAACTTGGCCTGGAGCACACTTCAAGGAGCTGGCATTGGCACCAAAGGCTGAGTGGCCTGTCTGTGTGCTGGAGTCACCTCGGGGAACAGTCACAGTCACCAATGTCAGGACCCTACATAGACATCTCAATTCAAAGCCAGGGTCAGCCTGGGCAGTGAGTTTCATCAGTGATGCTCAGATGGGTCGTGGGCTTCAAGAGGAGATGACAAAGTAACGGTTCCTTGAGGTGGCCTTTGTCAGCGGGTGCCAACCTGGCTATGTATTCCAGCATCTGAAGATCTTTGGCAACACCTGTGCCCAGGCTGTACTTCGTACTACCAAACCAGAGCTTCTGGGGTAGAGCTTTAAAATGTACATGCTTGGGCACATCTTCTGAGAGCCTCGTTTGGTTTACTTTGGGTAGAGTCCCAATTCCCGTATTGTAAGTTTGTTAAAAAGTATTTTTATTGTACATGCATGGGTGTTTTGACTGCCTTATTTATATGTCTGTGCACCACATGTATGTATTACCCATGAAGGACAGAAGAGGGCATCAGATCCTCTGGTATTGGAGTTAAAGATTGTGAGTGCTGGGAATTGAACCTCTGGAAGAGCAGAAAGTGCTCTTTAACTCTGAGTCATCTCTGCAGTCGACAGAATCTGTATTAAAAAAAAAAACACACAACTTGCTAGTTTATTTTAAGGATAGAGTCACTATCTTGGGAGAGGAGGGTAATGTGAGCTTGTAGTTCTCCAAGGGCAAAGGCAGGCAGGTAGAGTTGGTCCACCTGTCTATCTGGGGAAGACATTCTGAAATAGCCAAAATCATCTTCAAACATAGCAATCAATGTTGGCCTAATCTCACTCCCATCACAAGGGCATCTTAACCCCTACTGCCAAGGTATGTCAATACTTACCTTGAGGTCATTCGTGTGTGTGTGTGTGTGTGTGTGTGTGTGTGTGTGTGTGTGTGTGTGTGTGTGAGAAAAAATTGTTTGGGCCTCCATGCACAGCTCAGTAGTAGAGTGCTTGGCGAACATACAGAAACCATAGGTTTGGGCACTCAGAACTGGGGGATGGGAGATAAAAGTGAACCCTGTATCTCTCGTACATGGAATGTGTCACTAAAAGAACAGGAACACCTTAGAACTGAGCTTGTTACCTGTGTCACCTCAGTATTGCCTGTTACAATAATCCTACATTCTTTTAAAGGACCTTTATGCTTTCATTATTTGTCACCAGTCTGTGGTGTTATATATTCATGGCAAATCCACACAGCTCCAAGAAGCAGAACTGGGGCTTTCCTTCTAGACTCTGTTTTGAGATAAAGGGTTATAAAGTATAGCATCCTTGATTATTTTGGCTCAGGTAATTCTTTGTCACAGGGCTGTCTTGAGCCTTGTTTGTCAGCATTTCTGGACTTCACACACTAAATGACAGTAGCAGTGTTCCACTTGTGACAACCAAAGACATCACACTCACTGTGAGGAGACCAGAACCGGGCTACCCGGTATGCTGCTGTATGTTGTATGCAGCAGCAGCTTTCAGGCTGAATGTCCTTAGCTTCCTGTGTCAAGCAATGGAACTTGAATTGTATCTTGCAGGTGATAGTTTTGGGAGAGATTGGAGACATAAGCTCATGATGTTGCTTTAGAAAGATTGTAATGCAGGGATCAGGAAGAATGGGACCATGGGGGTTTTGAATTAAGGCAGTGTTAAGAGTGGAGATAAGGCATGGGCTAGAGAGGCCCCAGAGAAAGACAGGGCTTCCCAACTCAGTGGATAAAGACTAACAGAAGACGGAGAAGAAGAGAGAGAGGAAGAGGAGGGAGAGGTGGTAGGGGAGGAAGAGCACACCATTGCTGAGAACCAAGCATAGACGGAAGGGCCTGTGTTCAGGGAAGGTGACATGGTTGTCTGGAGATATTAGGCCCAAGGTAGAGGCTGCTTCCCTCCAGATACAGTGGCATCATCTTCTGATAGTCCTCAAGTCCTTGGTCAGTGGTAGCAAATTCAAGTTCAGGACTGAGTGGGACCTTCGCTTCCTTCAGTAGGGACAGAAGACAAGTGCAGAGATGAGGTTTCTGCATTTTCCAGCACCAAGACTTCCCCCGAGGGCTGCAGGAAGAAATGACTGCATGTGTCTGTCCCGTGCTGTGTGGGTCAGCACAAGGCTGTGAGTTCATACCCGTTTCCACCCTTAGATGGAGGGAGGACTTGAATAGGGAGAGGAGGAGGGAGAGGAAGGGAAGAGGAGGTGGGAGAGGCTCAAGGCCAACTGGAGGAGGTCATTTGTGATTTGTGACTGGAATCACAGCTGTGTGAAAGATAATGAAGGCCTGAAGTGGGGAATGCAGATCTGATAGGTGGATTTCTGCAAGATGTTTTTTTTTTTTAACACTTTTTTAAAAACTTTTTTTGTTTTGTTTTGTTTTTCCAGACAGGGCTTCTCTGTGTAGCCCCGGTAGTCCTGGAACTCACTCTGTAGACCAGGCTGGCCTCAAACTCACAGAGATCTGCCTGCCTCTACCTCCTGAGTGCTGGGATTGAAGACATGTGCTATCACCACTGTCGGTTTTTGTTTTTTTTTTTACTTTTATTCCTTTATCAAAGGCAAGATTAGGATTTTTCATTAGTAAATTCATCATCTAGAGCTTTTTCAGAGAAATGTACATTTTGCTTTACTTACATATTTGATGATAATGCAATATAAATTCAGTTATTGCCCCATGGAGAGCCTGACTGAGTTACTAGATCCTAGTCCGAGAGGAAGACCCTGTGTAAAGCAGACAATTGACTGATAGATAAACTCTTACAAAAGAAAAGGAAACCAACACACATCCTGCTTGGAAACTAAATTATTAAAAACAAACAAAACAAAAACACTCAAGGATCAAAGAAGCTTTTCAAAAACACATTCTAATGAAGAGCAGTGAGCGTCATTGCTGGCAGGCAGAGGACAGAGCCTGCAGGGGTCAATGGCCTTACCTGGCAATGCACAGAACAGGAAAGAGGCTCAGTCAGGTAAAGGATTCACAAAGCTTCGGGGAAGACAGAGGCGGGTCCTCTGAGATGTAGTTACTTGGAGGTAGGGCCTAATCAGCTTCATGACTGCTAAGTACTTTGAAGAGCAGAACCCGGGGTCGGGTCACGAATGGCTTGCAGTCTTGCATACAGGCCTGGCTTCTGGACTTGGCATGCAGTTACCTATAATGGCCACAAGATGTCAACATTAGTAGCGTTAACAAGTCAATCCCAAGAAAGGGCTCCGTAAATTAGGTTTAATGTCAAATAATGTGGGATTTTCCAGCTTCAAAAACCGATGTTTTAAGAGGAAGAGAATCCTAAAAGCAGCCCGCTAAGAGGAAAATATAAATTTTCTTTTAAAAGTTTTAAATTATAAAAATGTGGTTTCTTGCCACAGGCCCAGGCCCTATCCCAAAGATTATGACAGACTCTGAAGACCCCCTAGGGAAGGCCTCACCATCCCTGGGTGAGCAGAAAGTGTATGGGATAGGTAGGGTGTTAGTTGGGGGGGGGTAGGGGCGGAGGGGCGGGAGAGGGAACCCGGATTGACATGTAAAACAATCTTGTTTCTAATTCAAATTAAAAATGGAAGAAAAAATGTGTCTTATATGTATGTAAAGCGTGGCTATGGCAGGCCAGGGCACCTCTTTGAACTTCTATTCACTTATAGTCTACAAGGTCACACATCTCCATCATCATCATCTCACTGTGTAGCCTGGGAAAGATTGCACATGATAAGTATGTTGTATCTGCCTGTCATCGGTCACCAACAGCTCTCAGAGCCACCTGGTTTGGCTGGTCTCTGCTTATCTTGCATGTTGCCTTCTGAAGCTAATTTTAAAGATTTTACTTATGTTTACTTTAGAGTGTTTGGCCTGTATGTGTGTATGTGCTCTACATATGTGCAGTGCTCTCAGAGGCCAGAAGAGGGCATCAGATCCCTTGGAACTGAGTTACAGATGGTCATCCGCTGGGATGTACTGAGGCTGAACCCACATCCTCTGCAAGAGCTGGAAGTGCTCTTGACTGCTGAACCATCTCTCTAGTCCCACAAAACCTAAGTTTTAGTACTTGTTTCTCTTCTACAGCACCATGAGCTTTCTAGGGAAGCTGCATGCATTCATGCTTTTGATGTCTATTGCCCCTGTTCAGCACATTGCTTGGCTCATACTATTGCCACTCACTGCTGTTTTCTCATTATGTAGTGAATGGAAGCTTAGAATGTGGGGAGACTAGACTTGCCTGGCACTGTGTGAACTGGTGGGTTTTTTTTCCTCCATCACCA